ATTATTGTCATCTTTGTTGCCATATTTATTACAACGTTTCGGTCGTTGTACGGTCCGGCCTTCTTCAGATGGTTGGAATGTCGAACTGAAGCGTTTATTTAACAATGGCATCGAACCCAGAACTGAGTTCAATAACTAGTTAAGGCAATCTAGAATTTGGAGTGGTGAATTGACAGGAGATAACTGATAACTGACACCCATAAAGATATGACACGTGGAACTAGAACAGTCTACACCAGCGAGCGAAATAAAGGGTTCAGTTTGACATTCCAACCACGTGAAGAAGGCCGAAACGTTGTGATAAATATGGCAACAAAGATAAGGACAATAGTCCGAATAATGTAAGTAGTGCAATAAGAAACGCTGTCTACAAATTCAGCTATCAGTTTTTTTTTCTGCCCGTAACACATAAACATTGATGGATATACGGGCTTTATAACAGTTATTGGCGTTGCAATGGGAATCGAGGAACGGGGTTCAAATCCCGCCCCAGTTGATTGAATTCCCTTTTGTAATAATGTGCTTTTAAGGGCAGACTTCATTTTTATCCCCCAAGCTATGGAATACGCATGAGGGTAGACTAAGCTCTCACGCCTTTGGTGCTGTCTGCAGGAAAAATCATTCTGGAAAAGGTAACGGGAAGACATTCCATTACCTTTTTTTTTTTTTTAAATCATTTTACCTTAAGCAAGGTAAATAAAGCAACTAACATGCAAGGGGTTACTAAGTGTTAGTGAATATGAGAAAAAAACTACGCAAGAGGTTACTAAATGTTAGAGAATATGAGAAAAAACTACTATTAAGGAAAGAGAACAATAAAAAATAAGAATTAAGCAGACAGAATTGACGATTGAAATTCCATTTAAAATTTTGAAAATCAAATTTGACTGGGAAGCAAGAAGACAGAAAAGAGTTCCACAAGTGAGAAGTGCAATAGAAGAATCTGTTAGCATAGAAATTACGGTTACATGTAGCCATTTCCTTTCACAAGAGCCTCACTGCAATTCACATGTAATAAAGAAAAGCAATCTTGTTTTTATAATCTTGATCACCTTATACAATTTCCAACAGTCAGTTAGAGTAGAGGGTTACTGAATGAAGTTGTGATAGAGAAATAATAAAGGCAGATTATGAGGATAGATAACGAGGTAAACAGGAAAGCATCCTCTTGGGAGTCTGTTTCACAAAGTCTTAATGGAACTTTCTCCTTAATGGAATTCGAAGAGAATAATAATAATTCGAACTTGTGTATGTAGACTGATGCGTCCTTGTTATGGAGGTTTGAACGGACGGAAATTAGAAATGTAGTATATCTAAACAAATATTTGACATTGAAATAGCGATACACTAGCAACATTTCGTCTGTGAGGAAAGGGATTGTAGGGTGGGAAATAATTCATCACCCACAAGCCTATGTAAACGCTTTTGAATTCTGTCATGGTTCGAAAGTAATGATTGGATAACCCAGCTTAGATATGGCTGTTCCCGTCTATATATGGCATTAATAACTCCAGTCTGTAGAAATACATGATTGCTTACATTCCAATGATAGTCTGCTTGGGGCTGTTTACCGTCTTAGGTGACTTGCACGTCGTGTTTTTGAGAAGATGAACTTACTACATATATGTTGTGTATGTTCAGGACATAGATTATCTGGAACTGATGTAACGTTCTGCTTTCTCTTCGCCCATTTCCTGATCAACCCTCTTTTACTCGGACACCGTACGGCCACCGTTTACCATTTTCCACAGATTGTTATTGTATAAAAATCTTCCAGCCCTCGGAATCAATACCAAGATATTTAAAGAAGCTTAATGTTATCCTCATCTTCATTGCCATTTTCACAACGTTTCGGCAGTCGTACACTCCGGCGTTCTTCAGTTGACTGGAATTTCCAAGCAAACTCTTTATTTCGTCCACCGGGGTTGATTGTTCTAGTTCCACGTGTCATGCCTCTTCCTGAGGTCTCAGTTATTGCTGTGGCCTCGTACTGAACTCACAAATCTTTGGGTCTAGTCACTGGGTCTAAGCAACGTCTTTATCTACTGGGCTATGTGTTCTTGAGCTGACTCTGACCGTTTCAGCGCCAAACTCTAAGTATTATATTTTGTATCTCATTTTTTTTTACAATCTAAATATTTCAATACTGGCCAATTTACTGTGGCTACTCGTGATCGTGGACATTTTAGGTCTGGCGAAATCTAAAGTATTTCTTCTTACCTGCTTCACAAGAAACTGCCATGGCATGAGAATTGGTTCTTTTCACAAGTAACTGGTGAAGCGACTTTGTTCTTGTAGGAATGAATTGAAGTATTTCCCATTCAGCTAACAATACTTCGAAAGAAATCAAAATCAATCTGAAGGTGTAAGAGTTCTTAAAGAACGATTCTATAGAACAGGCGGCAGTTAAGTGCTGGACAAGACACACTGTAGACATTTTTCTTAATGCAACATTATTGTCATTCCTGTTCTTCCGACTGAAATGATAGTTATTTTATGTCCCAATACAACGAACGTTTCTTGTTCTTTTTTTTTGTTTTTGTTTTGTTTTTTGCATTCGAACTCTACTGAATGATTCTGTATGCAAATTTATGATAATGCATCACATGAAATATTTTTCTAAAGTCATAGTATCGAATTTCATTTTTCTTTTCTCTTTTCCATTTCTACACGTAAATTCAAGAAAATAATTACCCCTAATCCCATTCTTTATAGTTTTATTCCGGTTAAACTTTTATGTTAATTTTTCCCCACCCAATTTTTAATTATTTTCTAAATCTTCCCTTTCTTGTGTAACTAAATATCGAATAGACTTCCCCAAAAATTATTTTGGAATTCAAATCATATATTTACTATACACAATTTCTAAAACACGTGCCTGCTTAGTGGTTGAGATAATTGAGTACTTACAGTCGATGTTAAAGTTCACCATTCATACCTATGTTATCCTTGAAGGCTGTTAAAATGGTTATTTTCTAAGCGTAGCATAGATGTGACACAAAGCCGAAATTGTGGAGTACCCTATTCAGTCGTAAGTGACCTAGCAAGACAAGCTTGCTAACCATTACACCATGTAGAATGGCCTAGAATTCTACTACTAGGAATTTTTATTTTTGTGAGCCAGTAGAAGTAGTTATTAGAGTTAAGTAATTATGAAGTTATTTGTTCCTCGTTTACTAGTAATTAGATATTGTCTCATGTTATCTAGAGATGAGACAGACCGTTTTAGGAAAGTGGATTCATGCCTTCCCCGAGGAGATTAGTGCACGTAAACAAACTTAAACAGAACTGGAACCTACTATAACGATTTCCTACTTTTTCGAGCTGCCTTTTCATTATTTCTAATAAGAACGACGAGAAAAAAAACGGGTAAAAAAATCATATAACGTTATTTGTCGGCACCTTCTCACATCCAATCATTGGGATCATCATCCTCTCTCCCTATCTCATTTCTCTCTCCCCTGATGACGTTGGTGAGGATAGCTGTCAATCAAAAAGAGTTTGACGAGGCCATTCGCGTGAATGTGATTTTGGTGGACATCTCTATGCGACGGGGGAAGCCGACACACTTGGTCAGAAACACTTCTCTCGAAGCTCAAACGGGATTGAGACTGGCAAGATCTGACAAAGCTGGTTGCATCGGATGCTTGGGCTGTCAAGGTCTGCCTTGGTTACGCCAGTCCGACTGGAGTTGCTCACTTCCGCCGGCTTGATAGATGAGAGCGTGTAGATGTTTGCCTATTTCGCAGTTTGGGGTCTCCAGCGGTTGGTTGCGTTCAGTCTGGCCCTTCCTGTTCAACCATATTGGCATGAAGGTCCCTGCAGGAGTTGAAAAACCAGAGGGCTTCGATCTTAGAATAACTGTACAAGCAAGCCCTCTATCACGACAAGGAACGACTCGTTACAGTAAGCATAATATTTTCCCTGCATATAACAACAATGTGAATAGTATGAGAAGCATCTGTCTATATTTCTGAGATGAGGTATTATGTACACTATTTACATTATTCGGATTATTCTCCTCATCTTTGTCGCCATATTTATTACAACGTTTCGGCCGTTGTACGCTCCGGCCTTCTTCCGGTGGTTGGAATGTCGAACTGAACCCTTTATTTCGTTCACTGGGGCAGACCAGTTCCACGTGCCATGTGGAAACAGAAGAGCAGTAACTGAGCAGTACGAAATAAAAATTATAACTAGACGATATATCTAGACATGGGAAGTTGAACGAGAACAATCTACTGCTGTAGATTAAATAAAGAGGTCAATTCAACGTTCCCTGTACGTGGGTATACACCTGAGGAAGGCCGGAGGGCACAACGACCGAAAGTTTTTTTTTAAAATATTTTTAAGGAGTGCCAGAGAAAAGCAATATTAAAAAAAAATTGAATTATGAGCTCTGGTAAAAATATGTAATAATAACAGTAAAAAATTCAATATGAGCACTGGTAAAAAAATGATGCTGAAGACATTAGGTTTATAATACCCAGAAATTCATACACAGATGTCCTCAAGACACAGTGGATAAAGGCGTTAGTTAGATCCAGTGACATGTGAGTTCAATACCCGGTTAAGGCAGTGGAGAACTTTCAGAGGGAAAATTAACAGGAGATAACTGACATCCATTAAAACAAGAACAGTCTACCCCAGTGAGCGAAATAAAGGGTTCAGTTCGACATTCCAACCACCTGAAGAAGGCCCAAGCGTACAACGGCCGAAACGTTATAATAAATATGGCGACATATGAGGATGTACATAATACCTCATCTCAGAAATAGAGACAGATTTTTATTTGTATCCATAATTTCATTATTTATAATAAGTTCCGGAGTTTTAGTGACTGCGATGGTGTTGCTCGCTTTGAGATGCCGGGATTACAACTAACATCTGTTACTAGCAATTAGATTTCTTCTTGCTTTTATGCACCGCATCGCTTTAGGACCCAGCCGGTTATGACTCTCCCAAACCTATCTTTCGTCACTTCTCTAAGCATCCACGGCTTACGATCCCACCAGATTGAAACACATGTTTCCGTCCGATGACAAAAGTTAGGCATCATCGAGCCTGGTCAGTACCAGGATGGATGACTGCTTGGGAATACTAAAGTGCTGTGGTCTAATGGATAATGGTTCGAAATTGTTAATCGGAGAGCCGATTTCAAATTCCTGTTAGGATGGTTATATTCACTTAACGAAAAATACCATTGGGTAATTTATGAACCAATCTATTCTCTCAGCTATGAGTTAATTAGTAAAACTTGTGTCACTAAACCATTTCAAATTTTCTATCTTTAAATAAAATACAAAGTGTTGATAAGCAGTAGAAAACGAATCAGTTAAGCATCGAACAATAATTTTCAATAAACAAAAAGTTTAGGAAGAGGTTTAGGTCACCTATCGAGCACAGACCGTCTAGTTCAGCTTTATGCTTAGACAATTTGCTAAAAAAAAATCAAGTTTTTTTTTCCATTTTCGAAAACTAATACGCTAAGAAAAGATCGTCTGCAGCTGCATTAATTTTCCGGTTATAGCGGTAGCCATCTTACAGTTATGTAATAGACGGACACATAGAAAATATCACATTTAGTCAATAACTAGCAGCATGGCCCGGCGTTGCTCGGGCTTGATTCAAAAATCGTACGACTCATACAGCAATCGCTATCATTTGACTTAAAATATTTTTGCCCTTCCTTGCCTTTAAAGGAGTAACCTTTGCCGTGCTGATGTTGTTACATGCCTTACTTCTTGCCTATCTCACACTGCCAATTTTTTTAAAGCTCTATACTAAACATTAAATCTGTTAATTAAAAAGAACTAAACAAAATGAACACAGAATGATCAGCTTTAAAAAGGACTCGTAATTTGAAAAACTGAATAAAAAAAGAATGTTAACAACAAATACTTTTTCACACCCAACCCAGTTCTGCGGAATCAGAATCAACATTGAGTTCAAGCAAGCGAATGAGACAATTGGAAAGTAAAGTGCCATGCAGATTTAAATTTTTCCCACTTGTGACGAATGCAGCTATCGATTTATTTTGCATGCTAGCATGCTAGTTAAAATTCGTGTCAGTCAGCTGTTGGCTCTCACTCTGGCCAATAGAATCTTCCTGCCTATTCGTGGCAGCCAACTATTGGCTCTGACTCTGGCCAATAGAAAATGGCCGCAAACTACATGAAAACTGCCGTAGAAGCATGAAAAATCGATTATTTCCACTATCGATGGGAGTTGGGAAATGCAAAGTCGGTCTTGGCCTTCCCGCTAACTTGGAGCATGTGCATGTAAATTTTGGTGCAATCCGTCGAAAATTGCGGCCGTGCATTCGTTACACACACATCCTGCCTTTTATAGATAGAGATTTTATAGAGATAATGCTAATAATAATATTAACTGTATGCTTATAAAGAAATATGATAAGCTTTAAATTTTCTTATTATTATCTCGTGTCTTGACAATTTATTTTAATTCCGAATATCTAACGTTTTGTATTTATTTGCAAAACAGAGCCTGTATTTTACGACTTAACGAAAATATTCTACAATATTCATATACAGAAATACGATTGAAACTGGCAAATGTCCAACTGGCAAATCGACTCAATGTTGACTGGTCGAATCTCTGTGACAAATCAGGTTGCGTTATTGCAAAATAGTTCGATGGCCAGACTAGTTAATCGATGGAATAGATGGCCGATTGTCTCTTTCGTTAAATTCTTTCTTTCTTTCTTTCTTTCTTTCTTTCTTTCTTCACATCTTCTTTTTCGTATGTTTTGACCCTTTAGCCTATTCATATCTATTCATACATCCTACCTATAAAAAAAATCTGAAAATTAGGGCACTAACGAATCCAATATATTTATTGATTTACAAATAAAAACGCATACGAAACTGCTAATTTTCCATGTAGTCAGCATCGGTATTGACGCACGAGCATGTAAATATCCCCTTTGGGGAATAAAGCAACTGGGCCAGCGTTGCCAATAGAAAACAACGATTCTGCCCCCCCCCAGGTCAATACATTGATGATGAAACTGATAATGGCAATGACACCAACAAATGTGTGTAATAGCTTAACGGATAAATATCACTTTAAGAAATCAAATGTGTGATAATCTCAAGGATACCAAGTCACGAGGCGGTAAAATATGTCAAACCTACGAGTGGAGTCAGGATGACTATGTATGGCGTTGTTCTACAGAAAGATGGTACGTTTACGCAAACGATCTGGTCTTTATTGTCAAAAAGCTTCCGTCAGTCTGTCCAGTAACTGTAAAGGTATTATTAAGCGTTTCCCCATAAGGAAACATTTGGCATTTTTGACCGAGCAGGTAGTACCTCGGTCGGTTGAAATTGATGAAATCTTCTGATTAAAACAATTTTTCAGGAAAATAGTTTTCTCAAGTCCAATAGCTGTTATTGCTCTTTCTACTCTTGGTTCCTTTCTAAAGCTTTATTTGAAGTAACGTGGAATGACAATAACTTAATTTTGTCAATAGTTTCTCCTCAAGATAATGTGCTTTGTATTTGAGTTGAGGCTGTGGTCTGGTTTCTGTTATTTGGTACTGTTCTTCATTTGTGCTTCTGTAGCGACAATCATCATTGGTCTACGGATTTCTGTCACTCAAAGCCATTGCTTATAGTTTAGATATTTCTGAATGGGTTTGGGGTCAAGCGTTGCATGCCTATGATCTGATGAGGCTATTTAAGAATTAAACTTTTCGGATTAATATTTTGGTTGTATCCAAATTTGCGGTATTAGACAGAATCACATTTAGCGTAGTGTACTCTATGTTCAGTCTCATTTTCTCCGATACTAAATTTCCTATAACGGATCCATATACCAAGGTATATGAAGCTAACGGAGCGGCCATGTTTTCAATATAACAGCAGCAGGCAAACTAGAAACATCAAGCCTAAATTTCGAGCATGTGACCACAAAAGTACCAACTATGAGCAGACATGAGCAGAAGGCATTGTGACAAACCTAAATGTATATTATGACCCAAGTGCGGATAATTTCTAATTGCACTTGTGTATATATATATATATATATATATATATATATATATATATATATATATATATATAGATAGAGAGAGAGAGAGAGAGAGAGATAGATAGATATATAGATAGATACATAGATAGATAGATCCAGGAAAGAATGAGCAGAGCTAAAATGTAGTCCACTGGCATAAAAAGTGCTCAATGACATAAGAAATGGCAGAGCTATAATATATATATATATATATATATATATATATATATATATATATATATATATATATATATATATATATATATATATATATATATATAGTTTTAGGTGTGCTATATTTACGGGATAAAGTGATAACTATCAGAGAGAGAGCGTATGTAAATACAAATATAAAAGTGAACATTGAAGCTAGACGCAATGTATGTATAATGTATGTATGTATGTGTGTATGTATAATGTATGTATGTATGTGTGTATGTATAATGTGTATTTTGGCAACAATTCTCCTTTTATGTAAGTTTCGTTGAAAACGATTTACAAGGTGTGGTGGTTGAGTTTTTTATATAATTTTCTTTGTATTTGTACATTTTTTTTTATTTTCAGTAAATTATATAGAAATTGTCCGAATATTTTCCAAATGCTCATATACACACTCCATGTATTGTCAGCAATCTGAGTAACTCGTATGCACTAAGTATAGTAGACTAAATATATTTCCAATATAATCAAATCTGTTACTAAATGGAAATTACAAACATGTATTAGCGACCCGTAAGTCAGCATAGCTGACTGCGTATCGGGCCGAGTTTGGTATTTGGTATTTTTAAGCGGTCGACAAAAAAAAAAAAAATAAATAATTAAAAAAAAAACTCAGAAAAAATCGTTGAACATCGCAGTGTGTAGGAGAAACGGATCAATTGTTCCGGTCATTATGCATTTTGCTTATCTATACGAACTGATGTGCATCAAGAGGGAGGAGGAGGTACTTTTCGCTTCCTCTCTTGCTGACCTCTCTTTCTCCAGGCGGAGAGGAGCCAAGATGAAACAATGCCGAAGGGCAGAGTCTCGTTTGGGGAGGTAAACAAACCCAACCCCGGGTCTACGCACAATTTTTATCCGAGCCTACGCCTCACATTAAAAAATGGCCTTGTGCCACATCTTGCCTTGTAGGGAGGTTGGTAAATAGAGAGGTTTTGATTATATATGCGAAAAAGTTTCCATGCGCAATAGTAATCTCTTTTTTTCCCAATGTCCTTAAAACTATCTCATTTTTTTCTTCCCAGTGTACTTAACACTACCTCATTTATTTTATTCCCAGTGTCCTTAAAACTACCTCATTTGTTTCTTTCCCAGTGTTCTTAAAACTACCTCATTTTTTGTTTCCCAGTGTCCTTAAAACTACCTCATTTTTTTATTTCCCAGTGTCCTTAAAACTACCTCATTTTTTTCTTTTCCAGTGTCCTTAAAACTACCTCATTTTTTCTTCCCAGAGTCCTTAAATCTACCTCATTTTTTTCTTTTCCAGTGTCCTTAAAACTACCTCATTTTTTTCTTTTCCAGTGTCCTTAAAACTACCTCATTTTTTTCTTTTCCAGTGTCCTTAAAACTACCTCATTTTTTTTCTTTTCCAGTGTCCTTAAAACTACCTCATTTTTTTCTTCACAGTGTCTTTAAAACTACCTCATTTTTTTATTCCCAGTGTCCTTAAAACTACCTCATTTTTTTTCTTTTCCAGTGTCCTTAAAACTACCTCATTTTTTTCTTCCCAGTGTCCTTAAAACTACCTCATTTTTTTTATTCCCAGTGTCCTTAAAACTACCTCATTTTTTTTCTTTTCCAGTGTCCTTAAAACTACCTCATTTTTTTCTTCCCAGTGTCTTTAAAACTACCTAATTTTTTTTCTTCCCAGTGTCCTTAAAACTACCTAATTTTTTTCTTTCCCAGTGTTCTTAAAACTACCTCATTTTTTTCTTCCCAATGTCCTTAAAACTACCTCATTTTTTTTATTTCCCAGTGTCCTTAACACTACCTCATTTTTTTTATTTCCCAGTGTTCTTAAAACTACCTCATTTTTTTATTCCCAGTGTCCTTAAAACTACCTAATTTTTTTCTTTCCCA